TCTGGCATTACGGAGGGCCTTCCTATAAGTTTTAAGACTATCTTTCCAAATTAAACGAGAATTTTCCAGTTTGGTGGAACGCCAATTCCTCTCACGTTTCCGCGATATTTGCTTTAATTTGCGAGTTTCATTATTAACAGTAACACAAACGACTTTGGCAAGGTGGTGATGCTGCTACTCGTCGCAAAATTGGTGGCACTGGTAATACAGTTCCCCATCTAGTGATTACATTGCATTAACACTTCAAATGACATTTTAAAATTCAATAACGTAATGGATTCAGTGCTGTTGTGTGGTTTTCCTTAGCCTACTTATTAAGTCGCAGATCTTAAGACTCAAAAGACTCATCACCTGCTTCATTCTTCTTTTATACAAAAATTATTCATTTGGATAGCATGGCAATAAAGAATGTGTATCATTTGTTATTTTCATATTCAACCCCTGTTGAATATAAAAATATCGCGGTAAGTTAAAAACCATTTATGTAGCCTAAGCAGCTGAAATTTGTTCTATTTATGATCGGTGTTGTATCCTTACTGGTTATCAAACCAACTGGTTGCTGTGCACGTGCGCCTGTTTGCAACAGCTGTGGGGCCTGTAACATGAAGCGAGTTCAACCTACCCAGGATATCTTTATCTGGCTTCACTAACCCTAACAATCACAATCTGGATAAGCGTCACACAAAGCTGTTTATCAAGACATGAACAAGTCCACTGGCAGCAGAACGTGATATTTTACAAACTAAGAGCAAACTGCAACACTACAGACATACGAAATGGTCATGATATGCTCACATGTCTGCACATGTGGGTATATCATGACCATTTCGGAGACAGAAAACTCTTCATTACCTGCGCCCTCTTCGCAAACATGTTCTACCGAGACTGGTGGAACATGACCAGTCTCGGTGATAGCCTATAAGATAGCTAACCTAAAATAGCCTACATTAATATTAAAATTAATTTCAGTATCCCTACTGAACTGCTCATAATATTCAGCCTCACATAAGCAAAATGAAACCCATTTATTTTAACGGCTGTGACAGGCGGTGTGAAATGGACTGGGGAGAAAAATAAATAAATTTCAAAGCAGTAGGCTTACTGTAAAATCCTACAATAAGTAGTAGCTTACAAGGCTTTTAATTAGTCTCTGTAGGATGATATCGCTATACAAAAGTTTCTCCACATCAAACATAAACAGCCTAAAAAACAGTCTGCAGGACACTGTAGACACTGCGTCGACGGTGACGACACTATGGGAACGCCTCTGGGCGTGGCAGGACTGAATTATGAATGAAACTACTCCAATCCTATTGGTGTTGCTAGAACGGTAGCGTGTGACGGCATAACCGGAGGCGTATATAAGCACGTCAGCACACAGGACACATTAGCCCTTTTCTATGAAGCAAGGTACTCCAGGCGGGGTGAGGTATGGCGGACCGACACAGTGTCTCGTCCCCCTTCTCGGGGAACAAGGGTTACATACGTAACCCGAGACGTTCCCCTTCGAGGGAACTCGAACTGCGTCAGTGACGACACTATGGGAACGAGATACCCACTTAGGCCACGCCTGAACCCCGCCTGCCCCCAGCGTGCAAAAACCTGAGGAGGGCCCTAGAGGCCGCCATGCCTCGAGTAGAGTGCACCCTTACGGCCATAGGTGAAGGCAAACCGCGCACCTGATAGGCCAGGGAAATAGTCTGAACGATCCAGTTGCTGATGGTGTTGCCGGGGCTGTGCTCCCCGCTGTTTAGAAGCAGGGAGCCCAGCCTTGGGGGAGGGAGAGGAAGCTCCCTGCTCCTACTCGAAGCCTCAGGACCCTCTTCCCCCGGACCCGCCAAGACTGAAGGACAGTCCTCAGATCCGCCTTCCCGCGTTCCCAGGTTGGTTGAGGAGGACCCCGTGAAGCGACGCTCTGCCTCTGGCTGCGGCGGTAGGCGCTGGACGAGGGCTGCGCCCGCCTCTCCTAAGCCATTGCCGTCCTGGAGCCTGACTGGCGGGGGGAGATATCGCTCAAATGCCTCTCCCTGTGTTTTGGCGTGCTGAAACCTGCTGACGACAGTATCCACTGCTTCGCCAAACAGGCCATTAGTCGAGAGGGGCGCATCCAGGAGAAAAGCCTTCTCCTTCCCCTGGATGCCCAAGGTGGTGGAGCCATAGATGGCGCTCCGTAGCCACCAATGCTGCCATGGAGCGGCCAATGGAACGGGCCGTCTCTTTGGTAACACGGAGAGCTAAGTCCGTAGCTCTACGGAGCTCGGCCAGGTCCTCCTCAGAGGGACCACCCCTAGGTCACAGTCTCAAAGAAGATCGGCCTGGTACGCCTGCAAGACGGCCATCGCGTGCAGGCTGGCACCAGCTCGACCTGCTGCCATGTAGGCCTTGCCCACCAAAGGCAGGCATCTTATCCATTGTGCCACCACCACCAGTAACTTATACTGTACATTTATTTAGTTTGGCTGAGGGAGTGGCTGGAATGACGGATGGAGTGGCATCACTTCCATCTGCAGATGGGAGCACTCTCACCACCTAAAAAAGTAAAGCATATTTTAAACTTAGCACACTTTTAAAAGAAATGGAAGTAACTTGGAGGATGAATTATTGTAATGTTAAAATTACCTGGGTTAAGTCAACAGCCCCCCTGGACAGAGGAAAGATGCCTGTCTGGCAGAACCCAGCTTTAATATTTTGGGCAATGACAGCAGTGGGGTAGACATTTTTGAGAGAGGTGAAAATTGCTTCTTCCCCACAGCAAGTTCCCTTTGCACCAGACCCATCTGGAAAGCCATGGTGGAAAAAGTAGTCTTTGGTAGGGTTGTGGATGTGTGTGGTATGGGCAGGTATGCACAGAATTTTAATTTTGTTTTCCCTGCAGTAAACAGGTTTGGATACTCGTGTTGGTCCATGATTAAAAGAAGTGGTCGCTCCTCAAAAGCATACAGCACAAAATGCTAGAGCCATTTGAAGAGGAGCTCCAAATCAATGTAACCCTTCTCCTAGATGCCATAGAGTGCACTGGGAGGCCCATCCAGCATTTCTTCTTTGGAAGCAGCCATGTTTGTTGATGAAAGTTGATGGATTGTGGGATTGTGGGTCCCTTCTTAAAACATACTTTTATAGGAGAGCTTTTCCCGATCTTATTTGACTTTATTTTATCCCTTTTATTTTATTGAATTTTACTAATTTTATATTAATTTTTCATGCTCTTATCTTGTTTTTTTGTATTATTCTTTACACTTGTTAAAGCACTTTGTAACTTGTTTTTGAAAAGTGCTCTACAAATAAGGATTATTATTATTATTATTATTTTTATTTCTTATTCTAAATGTATCTACCTTGTACTGTAACTTCCACTTTAAGTTAAATACTTTTTATGAAAAGTTAGCTATGAAATTACATCACAATCAGTTCAGTTAAAGTTCATGTTTAATTTTTTAAAGAATGCCAATTTAAAATATTTGATTAATGTTATGTTAACTTACCTTGCCTGCTGGAGCCTCACCCAGCATGTTAGCCACCTGCCTGCTAACCCCAAGCCTGATCCCCAGCCTGCTAGCTCTGAGCTCCGGTCTGCTAGCCCCCAGTCAGCTAGCCTCCAGAAAGGCCAGCTGGAGGGTGATGTGGATCCTGCCATCGAGCGGCCCGGACACCGGCCCACACCACAGCTGATCCATCTCTGCTGACTCCAATACCCAGAGCCCAGTCGACGGTCTCCATCACTGTGGTTGAGTCTTGGCCGACTCCTGCACCCAGATCCCAGTCGGTGGTCTGACCGACGCCTGTTCCTGGGCCCTTGTCGGTCATCCAACTGACACGGGCTCCAAGCTCTATATTGGAGGTTCAACCGTCTCCTGTGTCATAAAGGCTCATCTTGTGGTATACATTTTCTGTTTGAACTCCTTTAAAAATCTTTATTTTGTCTGATAGCGGCTGCTGGTGGTTCTATAAAAAATAGCGAGAGAGAGTGGGCAACCCTGCCTGGTACCCCTCTGAGGACTAAAGCTTGGCCAAGTATGATCATTTTTCTTGAAAGATGCTCTTGGGGAACTGAACAAGATTTTAATCCCAGTCTACGAAAGAGTGTCCAAATTCAAATTTATGTAAAGTAGCTAATAGAAATTTACAATTTACCCTGTCAAATGCTTTCTCTGCATCCAAAGAAACAACTGTAGTTTCCAAGTTATGAATAGTGGCATAGTCTATTAAGTGATATTGGGAGATAACTGGACGAGAGTGTGGGATCTTTGTCTGGTTTAAGGAGCAGGCTGATATTAGCACTATTAGCAGAGTTCATTGTTGGAGGCAAATCGCAAGTACCCCTAATTTGCATTACCATCCCATACAATGTGGGCATAAGTATTTCCCAGAATTCCTTGTAGAATTCAGCAGGAAAACAGTCTGGCCCAGGGGTTTTATTATTCGGCATATGTAAGAGGTCTTCATGGAATTCAGCCATTACACTCATTTAAGTTAGCAGAGCAGCATGTGGGAAATGCTACAACACCCCCAATCAAAGAAAATGGGGTAAACACATTTCAAGACTTGACATTGTACTGAAATGTTTGTAAATGTTTGGCCAGTTATAATACAACCTGGGGATTTCATTATGTTCATGATGATTGTGATTCTGATGATTTTGACCCACATACAGGGATTTTTAACAGAAAAGTGTTCATGTGTTGTGCTATTCTACTAGATTGGCATTAGGGATGGACAGTGTCAGTGGATTCATCACTTTGGGCCAGATAGAAATATATTCGCGAAAGTTAGCATGCTAACACACTAAACTAAGATGGTGAACATTTCGGTTAAAATAGTCATTGTGAGCATCCTAACATTAGCAGACCCCCCATGCATTAGCACGGCCTTAGTAAGCTACAAGCGCGTCTGAACACCTGACACACCAGTCTGCAATTACAGCCAACACCACAATAACACCATTTTCTGTTGGGAAGAAAATGCTATTAAAGTTAGATACAGGTTTTATCATATTATTGGTTTTTATTGATTTTCACCTTTATTCCAGTCAGTGTTTCTACATGACATACATTTGCTACAACATAAAGTTTGTAATATGCTCTACAAAACTTTGGTGGCCTGTCCCCGTCTGGAGCTGTCCCCGGAAATGTCCCAGTTTTTAACTGTGTTGTACATAGACTGTATAAGGTGTTAACAGACCTGAAATCAGATTTACGTGGCCAGAAAGACTGGACAGCAGAGTGTACAGGTGTCGTGCCAAAAAGTGATCACTGAAAACTGATCCGTGGGAACACGCGCAGCTGCAGCTGCTTTTATCTGGATCAAACAGACATAACGTGCAAATAAACATCACTTTATGTCCGCGGTAATAGCAAAGATATGTCATTATGATAGGCCTACTTTTAACATTGCTTTTAACAGGATAATCACAATTGTGGCCAAATAAGTGTTTGCAGTTTATCGTAACCAAGCATGACATTTACGTGATTATAGGCAATAATTGAAGCCTGTTGTTGCCGATAGATTATGTGTTTGGCAGGCCTATGTCTAATATCCTTGTTTATATTTGGAAAACAAATGTAGCCTATAATTGACATGACTTACTGCTGAGTTATATATAAAATTAAGACAAGATCTCTTTTGCAATTATCCTTATGACTCTACATTATTTAACTTGCTGTGTACCAACCAATCCGGTTTTACCTTTAAATGGCCAAACACACAGATAAAATGCATTATTCTACTTGACAGAAAGTAATTGAAGCCTCTACTTATTGACTGAAAGGTAGTTTCTGCCTCAAAATGACTTGATTTCATTCTGAAGAGTTATATTTGACAGATTATAAAACTGAAATCGTCCCTATTTTTTATTTCAGAATAACATATTTTTAATGACATACTGACCATCAAACCAAAAATGTCCCGGGTTTTCATTTCAGAAATTTGGTCACCTTATACAAATCATAACATGGAGTCTTTAAGATGGATCTTGTCTGGCTCTCTATCTTGTCAGTTCTATCTGAAAATGGCTAACATGGGGACAACAGCTTCAGATCAGAAGTTGGCCTGGTAGGCCAGCAGATATCCATCGTTGTACATGTAGATCTGTCTGTTGATGGGGTTATAGCTCAGGCTGGCCACTCCTTTAGCTACCTTCTCCAGTGGCAGTGCTAGTGAGTTGTTGTCTTTGCCTGTTGCTGTGTCGAAGGCGTAGAACACCTCCTCCCGATATTCGTCCACAAATCGAGTGGCATATAGCACACCGCACACCATGAAAGCATTGCTCACTGCCTTCTTGAACAGCCTCGTCTCCCACGTCTGGGAGACATTTAGTGTCTCGGCCTCACTGTCCCAAACTAGCCGACTCACCACTAGATTACCATGGTTACCGACAGTGGCATAGATTGCCCATAGTCCCGTCTCGTCTGCCTCCACATCCACATCACTATTGGCACGGCACTCATAGTAACAATACGGGAACTTGTTGTTGAAACCCACGCCGGTGCCTGGAAGTGTCACCCGTTTGACGGCGTTGCTCTTCAGGTCGTAGCGACAGACGTCTGCAGAGCGGTAGCAGTTATAGTACAGCGCTTCACCATATAGAACAGCACTGGGACCCTCAATGCTGTTGGGGTGACTGTGGGATGGAGCAAAGGTAAAGTCCTTGTTGTTAGCAGAGGCCATGAAGTCTTCGTAGGTTTGGTAAACACGCAGGGAGTTGCCCCAGATGTGGCTGCTGAGCAGAGGTTGGACCCAGTAGCTGTTCTTCTGCCCCTCGCTGTCCATCTGGGCCTGTTTGCCCCACGAACCAGAGATGTAGCTCTTACCGTAGGGACTGACCTTAGTCATGACAGGTTCGCTAATATTTGTGATCAGGCCCTTGAGGCAGTACCTGTCCTGGCCTGGAAACAGACAAAGATGAGAAGGGTCTGAAGATCAGGTGATGTACAGTACAGTATCACCTTTTTTGTCTATTAAAATGTTGAGGAAATTATAATAAATTTGGGTGGAATCGCTTTCCATAAGAATAGTAGACTATAATAGTAACATAGAGTAGGCTATAACATGTTTTGAAATTGTATGTAAACCTCTGTAAAATGTTAATACAGTAACCCTACCTAAAATCCTTTACGTATCCTTGATAGAGGCCTGATACCAATGCTGGATTTGTGTCTTTACAACAAACAACACTCTGCTTTAATGCCTTATCTGCGATTGTTTCTATTCTGGTGTCTTTTTATGACAATATTTAGTATTTAGTTAATGAGCATGAATAGAAAAAATTAAGAAATATTTTAGTTTGAAAAGAGGTCTGTGCATCCAATGAAAGAAAAAGTTTGAGAATCAAAGAACCTCTTGTCCACCAATTTAATCTTCATGAAAAATTACAAATATTGGGAATATTACAGTTTTTTCTGAATGCTTAAGCGCTAATCGTGATTCTTGTAGCACTATTTCTAAAACTATTAATACGTATAGCAAAACCACTCACTGAGTTTGCAAAACTAAAAGCACAAACACTGCTTTGCACTCAGTTTGCAATTTTGTAACACACACTTTGCAAAACTGTAGGCACAATTCACTGCACAACACTCTTTTTGCAGAACTTTAAACACAACTCACTGCTTACACTCAATTACCAAATTTCCAACACACTCCTAGCAAAATTATACACATGTATGGCTATCATTAACACTATTTTGCCAACTGTCTGGCACACTTTCACATGTTAAAACTGTTTTAGATAATTAGTTCACTTTGCAATCAGCCTAAGCACTATAAATAAGCCACAGGTAAGCTGTCTGTGTGGAGTACAATGGAAGGAGCAGTAAGAGTGAGAAGAGTGAGAATCAGAGGAGGCCGAGGAGGCCGAGGGAGAGGACGTGGAGGTGAAGAAGTTGGAGGAAGGGGACGTGGAGGTGAAGAAGTTGGAGGAAGGGGACGTGGAGGTGAAGAAGTTGGAGGAAGAGGACGTGGAGGTGAAGAAGTTGGAGGAAGAGGACGTGGAGGAGCAAGAAGAGGACGAGGAGGGGAAAGAGGAAGGGTAAGAAGAGTAAGAAATAGAATAACTGATGACATCAGAGCTACAATAGTGGACCATGTCATCAACCATGGGATGACCCTGAGGGAAGCTGGCTAACGGGTTCAGCCTAATTTGAGCCGCTACACTGTGGCAAGCATCATTAGGACATTTCGAAATCAGAATCGGTAAGTACTTTGTAGCACTGCCTTACTCTAATGAGAAACACAACAGTACCATACATGCAAAAATAGTGAAATTGTTACTTAACAGAATTGCTAGACGTCCACATGTTGGGGGCAGAGGAAGAATGTTCACTCCAGAGCAAGAGACCCATATAGTGAACATGGTGATTGCCAATAATGCAATAAGACTGCGCGAAATAAGGCAGCGCATAATTGATAATGACACCATCTTTCAAAATATACACAGTGTAAGCATTTCTGCACTAAGTCGTGTACTTGCGCGCCACAGAATAAGAATGAAGCAAATTTACAGAGTTCCTGTCGAGAGAAACACAGAACGTGTAAAGCAACTGCGATATGACTGTGCAGGTAAGCTATAGTGTCATTGGTTCTGAATTTGGAAGTGCATACTGTAGTGCTGTGCATGGGCCTGATGTGTTGCATTTGTTTTGTCTTGTCCAGAGAGTGATGGAACTAGAAGCAGATGCCATGGGACATGAGCTACTTTTTGTAGATGAGGCCGGTTTTAACCTCAGTAAAACCAGGAGACATGGCAGGAACATTATTGGACACCGTGCCATCATCAATGTCCCAGAACAACGTGGTGGTAACATAACCATGTGTGCAGCTATAAGCCAAAATGGTGTTGTTCATCATCATGCAACCATAGGCCCATACAACACTGCACACATTATTGCATTCCTGGACATCTTACATGACATGCTCACTGTTCAGAGACCAGAGCAGACCCGATATGTCATCATATGGGACAATGTTAGTTTCCATAGGGCTGCTTTGGTCCACAACTGGTTTACAGACCACCCATTCTTCATGGCACTCAACCTCCCTCCATACTCTCCATTCTTAAATCCCATCGAGGAGTTCTTCTCTGCCTGGCGCTGGAAAGTGTATGACTGTCATCCTCATCAACAGGTAGCCCTTTTACAGGCAATGGAGGAGGCATGTGGAGATATTGACCAGGCATCATGTCAGGCCTGGATACGGCATTCAAGGAGATATTTTCCCCGGTGCCTTGGACTGGAGGATATCGCATGCGATGTGGACGAAATTTTGTGGCCGGACCCAGAAAGACGACATGATGTAGGCTGATTGTCTTTTTTTGTGAAATTACTATTTTGTGTTCTGACTTTGTCTTGGTTTTGATGAGTGTGAATAAACACCAATACTTGAAGTTTGGATCCTTGTATGTTTACATGACACTATGTAGTGGACCTAAATTTATTAGTTATGCATTTTAATAAATTTATGAGAATTGATACCCAATTATGAATTATTATTCATAAAATCAGAATTTCCTCGTAAAGGGCACCACCGGAGTTGTTATAATCCTAGAGTCTCCGGACCTCTAGGTAGTTTTGAATAATTATACAATTATTACTAGTGATCAGTTAGTTAATAATCGCACAATTATCTTAAATCAGTCAGTCAGTCTCATATCTAAAGGGTCAATTCTCTTGGCAGGAACTATAAATAGGCAACACACACAGCTCTTGATTATATTACAGTGAATTTATTCTCTAACTAAGGTGATAAAAGACGGTTGGATACAGGGAACATAAACATTTGCTGAACAATGAGCCTGGAGGTTCGATTGTGGGAAGCATTCGACTCATACGGCATAGAAGAGCTAATGAAAGTAAACTAATGCTATAGTTTAGGAGTTAAAATGGACATCTGATCACAGGACGTGTGTTAAGTCTTACTGCTTGTCGACAGCCTGCTTTTGGCCTGTTGCACGGGTCCCACGCTAGCTGCCCGATCCTGGCTTTTTGCTAGGGATTCTTCGGGGTTCTCCGTGTCTGATTGAAAACGCCTCCTCCGTCTGGCAATTCGGCTGTTTGCAGGTTTCCTTGGTTGTAGCTAGCGAGACCACGTGGCTTGGTCTGACCTCGGTGAAGTTGGCTCGACGAAAAGGCTTAAAATGGAACTTGGTCGTTCCTGAATTAGTCCAGTGTAACTTAACGGACTGATAACTTTAACAAACAAAAGAAATAAAGAAAATAAAACAAACTGAAGGCAGATCGATGTCTCGGCACTTCAGGTGTGTAGCTTCAGGCGAACAAAGGCCTGTTTGTTTCGCTGGCCGAGTCTGGGCGTGTTGTCTGGCGAGGCACGCCACGCGCGTGCCGAAGCATCCAGGGGCCAGAGTGGAAGAGCGAGAGGGAAGAGACAGAGCGAAGAGTGAAGAGACTCGCGAGCAGGTCGCGTGTCGCTCTTTTGTTGCCTGGGGCGTGGTTCCCCAGGGGGCGTCTCAGGTTTCCCAAGGGACTGCCTTTCCAAACTTAATGTCTAAAGAAAAGAAATCTATTTGCACGTATTATAATCAAATATTTTCCACAATCGAACCTCAATGGTTGAACGGTTGTACTGTTCTAAGCATTTGGTAAATTGTCACATTATTGGTCAGGATTTTTATACATTTAACCGCATTTCCGACGAGGGCATGTAATACTTATTTCGTCCACTTGGGGGAGCTCAGGTTACATGAGGAAAGCTTGGATTAAATCAAAGATCGTCTCTCCTTAGGAACCGGGGAATATTGTTGATTCATCCTTAAATTCAAGCTGGCGATTAAGAGTGTAGTAAAACATTTCTTTGTCATCATTTCTAAAGGGATTTTGTAAGAAAGTATTATGAACAAGCATTGATTACATCAGATGAAGGAGTGTCTTGCTGAAAATAAAAACATTGCACAAGTAACTTCTTTTCAGCACTAATATCAACAACAGATAGCAACGACAGTTAACATAACTACTCAAATAGAGGCAAACGTATTCAGGTAACTAAAGATTTAATTAAATTTAATTAGATGCTTTGAGTCTTTTGGAGAATGCAGTCCTTTGTCATCCAAAGTTCAGTGTCTGGAACATGTCACACTTAGGTGAGACAAGGAGTATCCTTTTGATGTGGTAATAAACAAAGAATAAGGTCAGTTTCCACGGAAACGTGTGTGGTGGGGTAAGTTTTGATAGGCTGTTCAGGGAGATGCCAATGGCTGGCTCGTGTCCCTTTGTCAGTTTAACAGTCAGGCCCCGCGTTATCAGCTTCGGAATCAAAATGGTACCAGTTTTATGGTCGGGCTAGCACTTAGAGAAAGCAACTTTGACCCCTCCCCATCTTCTCTGGGGAGGAGAAAGGAATTTAGGGTAGCTCCACATTTATTCATGAAAAATGCACAAATCCACACTGTTGTTCACTACAGTCCCCCCTTCGGCCAAAATGTTCCCTCCGATAGGTAACGTTTTGGACGCAATGAGAAACAACATGTGTGGTTTGTCAGGTGCAGGTCGACTTTGTCAGGAGCTGATGATGTGTTGGTCAGCTGCTGGTCAGGTACTGATGATGCTGGTGAGGTGGAAGGAGTCAAGCAGAGCAGAGCAGGTGGCAAAACACAACATCTGTGATCAGGTTGATGTCCTTCTAAGGCTACTAATTCTGCTAGTCACTTAGGGTAACCCCAATTAGCTAGTCTTAAAGTAGCAGGTGCCTGCTGTGTTACTTAATCACCTGAAACAAAGTAAAGCGGAAAATTAATTTGGGAAGCAAAACAAATATCTTAACAAATTGACAAGTCGTGTGTGAGCATGACCAACATTATTTTTCTCAGAAATTCATTGATATTCAGAACCATAACCTGCAGTGAGCTTGAGGGTTGTTTAGCTGGTTTAGGCTAACA